AAAAAAAAAACATAAATTCATGAATTTACCTCAGAGGAAAAGGAGTATGCTTTCTAGATGTTCAAAGAGAAAATGAAGAAATAACTTATTTTAAAAGAACAAAACAGTTACTTATTGCTCACATCTATAGTCCTAGCTACTCAGGATGCTGAGACTTGGAGGATTTCTACTCAAAGTCAGCACAGACAAAAGTCTGAGAGTCCATCTCTACAATAACCAGTAAAAAGTGAGACTGGATTTGTGGTTTAGGTGGTTAGAGCACCAGTCTTGAGCAAGAAACTGAGCAAGAGCTTAAGGCCTGATTACTGAAGCGGGGGAATAATAAAAACATAAGCATATGTAGTAGAAATAGAACTGTGTGGAAAGGGCAGGTAGAAATGAAGGATATCCTCACTGGGCATTAATGGTTTACATTTGTAATTCTTGCTACTCAGGAGGGGAGATCTGAGGATAACAGTTGAAAGCCAGCCCAGGCAGGAAAGTCCGTGAGGCACTGATGTTCAATTAAATACCAGAAAACTAGAAGTTGTACTGTGGCTCAAAGTAGTAAAGTGCTATCCTTGAGCCAAAGAGCTCAAGGACAGTGCCTAGGCCCCAAGTTCAAGCCCCACTACCAAAAGAAAGAAAAAGAGAGGGCTGGGAAGGTAGTTCAGTGGTAGAGTGCATGCCTTGCATGCATGAGACCTTGGGTTCAATTCCTGAGCACCACCTAAGCAGAAAAGGCCAGAAGTGGCACTGTGGCTCAGGTGGTAGAGTGCTAGTGAAGAGCTGAAGAGCTGAGGGACAGCGCCCAGGCCCAGAGTTCAGGCCCCATAACCGACCAAAAAAAAAGGGAGGGAAGTGGGGAACAAAAAAGAAAAGAAACATCTCATGGCTATACTTGAAAATTCGTGAATTGGAATTGAGTAAAAGGTTAACCTGCATTAGGAAGACATCTAAAAAGTAAGGACAGGGACTAGAATTGTGGCTTAGTGATGAGTGCTTGCTTCCTAGGCATGAAACCCTGGGTTTGATTTCTCAGTACCAGCACTGGAAGTGGCACTGTGGCTCAAGTGGCAGAGCAAGAGAAGCTCAAGGACAGTGCCCAGGCCCTGAGTTCAGCCCCCAGGACTGGCAAAAAACAAAAACAAAAAAACGACAATGGCAGACAGAAGGTTTGTATTAAGGTAGTCTAAGCAGCCACTGAAGTTGCCCTGCCCTCTGCACTGTCTTGTCATTTTACTGTCATAACATGTCACAGGAATATGTTTTGTTGACTTGTGCTCTTCTGAGATCCTGCAGGCTGCTGACCTCTGATCTCTTACAGCCAAGCAAGTCAGCCAAGGATCTCACTCTATGAGCCCTGCATCTCACCTGTACACTGTTGTACCTATGACCTCAGCACTGTTTTCTGTCTCAAGTTAGACCTCCAGGGCTGGGCAGGTGGCTTAGTGGTAGAGTGCTTGCCTCACATGCATGAGGCCCTGGGTTCAATTCCTCAGCACCACTAAGCAGAAAAAGCTGGAAGTGGCGCTATGGCTCAAGTGGTAGAGCGCTAGCCTTGAGCTGAAGAGCTGAGGGACAACACCCAGGCCCAGAGTTCAGGTTCCATGACCAACAGAAAAAAAAAAAATCATCAAGTTAGACCTCCAATGTGGAGGTTGTTCTGTGAATGAATACATGGTATAATGCATATTTCAAAATATTTTAGACATGCCTTCATTGGCCTTGATTGATCACCTTGATCTGTTTGGTCAGCTTTTCAGTAGGAAGAGAGTAGAGACTAGTCGGATTGCTGAGAGGGACTCCTTCCTAGTATGCGCACTGCCATTACTAGTCTGGATATGAAATGCAGGAAACCTTTGTATAACCATAGTCCTGGGGTCTGCCAAGCTGTGTCCTCTTGGTTTTTTTTTTCTTTTTGTTTTTGTCGGTTGTGGGGCCTGAACTCTGGGCTTGGGCTCTTCAGCTCCTTGCACTCTTCAGCACAAGAGCACTTTGCTGCTTGAGCCACAGCGCTACTTCCTGTTTTCTAGTGGTTTATTAGAGATAAGAGTCTCAGGGACTTTCCTGCCCCAGCTGGCTTTGAACTGTGATCCTCAGATCTCAGCCTCCTGAGTAGCTAGGATTACAGGCGTGAGTCACCCACACCCGGCTGTTGGTTGAGTTTTGAACTCAAGCCTTATTCTTGTTAAGCAGATGCTCTGCCCTGTGAGCCATGCCACCAGCTGTTTTGCTTTAGGTTATTTTTCAGAATGAAGCCAGCACCATAACCATGTCAGTATACTAATTTTTCTTTTTCTTCTTTTAGGCTGGAGTAAAAGGGACATTGGGAAGATTAGTTGGGATTTTTGAGGTAAGTCTGTTATTATATTTGGGAGAAATGGCTACCATAGTCCTAATCTAGGAAGTAAATCATCTGTGTTCCAGTCAGTTGTCAACAAAGCCGGACAGCAGAGAATAGTGGGGTTGTTTTT